GTTAACGACTTACATGGAGACCATCATTGATTCTATATTTATAGAATGATTAGGGTGACTTTATCTATATTCTGATGCACCACATATATATAAGTTCATAACAACGCATGCATGCATGATATAAAATGATGAGACAAATGTGTGACATGTAGAAAGAGTAAAAAAAGGGTAACTAGACTTTTTGTTAGGGTCATTTTAGTTATCTAATCAGCCTAATTGTTAGATTGAAACCTTATTTGTCTAAATATTTTGATTGGGATCCTTAGCATCATTTAAGAGATTTAACTCATGCATTTATGCATTTAATGTCCCACAAATTATGAAATTTAAATAAATTCAAATAATATTTTTAAAATATAATAAATACTTAAAAATCAATAATAGAGTAATATTGTTCTTCACAAAATTATAGCAAAAAAATAATGTACCCACATAATTATTAACATATTTTAAAAAAATAACTATTGATATATTTTAAAACATAAAATAAATACATATAATTAGCATGGGTACATTTAGAAAAATTAAAAATAGGTACAAATACATGTAAAAGTTTTAAAAATATGGGCACAAAAAGAAATTAATATATGGGTACAAATTAAAACTAAAAATAAAATAGGTACAAATTAAAAAAGGATTGCAAATTAGAAATGGGTACAAACTAAAAATGCAAATATATGAATAAAAATTTAGCCATAAATATAAATATATCCTATATAATTTTTCTAACAATAAATGAATATATTTAGAAATAAAAAAATTATTTTGTTATTGAAGTAGTTAATGACGTTTATTAAAACCTAAGGACTTTGAACAAAAATTGAAAAGTAAAAGGTTTTAATTAATGGAGTAGCAAAAAGAGGGATGGAAACCTAGTTTCTCCTTTTTTTTATTTACGCATCGTGACAGTGTTCAGTAGACATGTCTTTGATTGAAGAAGCGTTTTCTGTTTATGATGTTCACGTTTGAATTATGAATAAATCTTTATGTGGTACTGTACTATCTTTTGTGTTTGAATAACAGTGTGGTGATTCAAATTTAGTGATATATGTGAGAAGCTACAAACATCATTAATTCTGATAATGATTTACGTAATACATATTTTCCACATATAACCATTTTTTCCACATATTTTCCATAAGGACATACCTCTATATTTAGCTTCAGCATTGGAACGGGCAACTACATTTTGTTTCTTACTCTTTCATGTAACCAAGTTGCCCTTAATGAATGTAAAGTAACTTGATGTTGAGCATCTGTCATCCACTAAGTCTAGCCAATCTGCATTAGTATAACCTTCAACTCTGTCACGCCCCGACCTGCGAATAAAGAATATTCATGAGTTAGGGTGTGAGCCATATCTTAGCTATAGAAATAAATTCTACAACCAAGATATGGATGAAAAAATTATAATAATTTGGCACGATTACACACACAATACATCATATAACAAATCTTACATAATAAAAGCTTAAGTTTACCAAATATAATTTATTGAATACGCAACGGAAATAAAATATTAGTATACAAAAGTAATTCATAACAAAAGTACCAACTAAAATAATAATTGAAATGAGTAGCTCTTGCCAATACATAAAATGTATGCAATGAGATGCATGAATGTACTCACTCACTTCTAATCCTGCTAACACATACCTAAGACACTCAAGCCTGCACGTCCCATACCATGCTTATACCACTTGACTTTGAATACCTTAGAATATGAGGTAACTCCCGTTCATCCCTTAAACCCAATTTTTGTAATTAAATTCTCAGTTTCCACTTTATTATACAGGCAATACCCCTGATGCCCAATTGTATATTCAAGCCATTCCCTCGACGCTTGACATATACAAGATTCATTATTTTTATAATCAACCAATTTGTATACTCAAGGCCTACACCCTACGCTTGACATATACAAGGTTCATTATTTTATATTTAAGGCAAACTTCAGCCCTTGAAAATCTTCACAACTCAAACACAACTTAACTTTTTTTTCTTACTTTACAAGAATGCTTATGTATATGTCATTTAACAAGGATATCAATAATCACATGCTCTATAACATTTGCAACACTAATCAAACTGTTAGTAGCCAAAATTGTATTATATTTGCAACACTAATCAAATTGTTAGTAGCCAAAATTGTATTATATTATCAATAATATATAGTATGGATAACACACAACAATCTAATTGAGAAATATTACTTTACCATTTTACTCCATCTCTCTAGGTGATATTGATGGATAAATCCGTTTTGAGTTCCATAAAGCAATTCTATTGGGTAAGCTCTCATGCATTTTCTGGGATTCCCCCCCCCCCCTCCCCCTTTTCCCTTCCCTTATTTTACAACCTTCTCAAGGGAAGTAAATGGATATTTTTGATAGTTTGGCGGGAGTACTTCTTATGGCAATGATCTCCAAAATATAAATGCATAAACAACATAAGATTTAAGTGGTTCGCCAAATCGACTACATCCACTGGGGTTTGCTTTCATTGTATTTCACTATAAGAAGGTAATATGAAATGGAGAATTTCTTTCTCGTTGGAGTGGTTCTTTCTTCTTCTTTTTCTTCTTCTTCTTCCTCTCTCTTTTTCTCCATGTCTTCCATTGGTTCTTTGCTCCTTCCTTTATAAAGATTGCATGACATCTTCATCTCCAAAAAATCTCCCAAGTGTTCTAATAAAAAGAAACCAAGTATTGTGCTAATCATTACCATGAAATGCGTTCCAATAACAAGGCAACGATTGTTGTCCTATCATTAAGAATGAAATGTGGTCCAATAGAAAAACAAAAAATGCTAAGCTAATCACTAGCCCTATTATGTGTTCCAATAGAAACACACCAAATGTTAACCTAATCATGAACTAATGAATATCATGCAAGATGTTCATTGCATCAAAGGCCATGTGAAATGTTCGAACCACAATAAGTTGTCATCTTTCTCTAGTTAGAGTGGTGAATATCATCCTAATGATTAAGATTCCTATAGATTGATAAGTAAGCACTTCTAATACCTCAAAGTGTTGCCACCTACATGCAAATAGACTAACATACACATGCTATAGACTCCACCTCTTCAACCTAATTATTCGCTTATATTAAATACCAACTTCCACCTCAACCTATCTAGAGTAGTGACTAACCCCTCCCCTTTATTCTCTAATGGTTGCCAAAACGCTACTTAGCCTTTGTGAAAAAAAATCTAGCCAAACTCATCATAATCCCCTTCTCCAATTCAAACTAAAAATATCTCTAATTACATATGAACATGAAATACTACTAGCTAGTTTTTGAAATAATTTGTAGCAAAAAGGATTTTACATTGAAACTATTTTACATATCGCAAGTAGGTTCTTGCATAAAAGAAATCTAATAAAATCACTACGTAAAAATAATTACCCACACACACACACACACACATATATATATATATAACTTTTTTTTTAAATACGGGGTATTACAAACTCTAAGATGGTTATTTCTTTTAAACAAAATTCCTTTGTTTGGGCTTCCTTTCAAATATCGCAAAATCCTCATCACTGCATTCATATGTTCCTATCCAAGATCATGCATGTATTGACTCACTACACTCAAGGCATAGGCAAAGTCCAGTCTTGTGTATGCCAAGTACATTAATGACCTTCTAACTTTTGGTATCTCCCTTTGTCAACTGGTACTCAACAATTTAATAAGGGTTGGTCGAACAATTCTCTTCTGTGTGAACTGGAAGTAATAAAGATCCAAGTAATAATGACGTTTAAATGATGGTTTCTCACATTCTCTTCTTTAGTGTTAGTTTTTTTGTTAAATTTTGCGGTCCAGATTAACTAAACTGAGCAACAGGAGCATTTTTTTTTGACAAGTCTAGCTAGGAGGAACAATACCCTTTTATATCATGTGATTTGTAAAGCCAATTAAAGATGGCTTCAGCCTTATCTTTCCAAAGTACAAATAAAAGAGAAAAAGTTGTTTTGGCTTCGCTTCATATTGAGTTTGTTGTGTTCCTCGTGTACTAAATGGCTTACCATCTCAATCACATGACAACTCAATCACATGATACTGGCATCAAGGTCCAAGCTTGGGGGTTGGAACTTTGTAGTACTGCATGCATGCGCTGGGATAATTTACAACCACCACATGCATTGTCCGTGGTGACCACTTTATTGTCTGGGATCGGACCATAATGTTGCTGCGGTGTTGCAATCAGTACTTACTGATGTGAGAAGCAGAAGTGAAAGTTTGGGGACATTTTTCAGCAATCCCATCAAGTAAACAAAAATGGAAAGCTCCACATACCTAGCTAGGAAAGATTAAGAGACAGTATCTTCATCTGATCTTTTGTTCTATTTGCTTGTTTGTCGTGTGGTTAATATGATCGATGTTGATGATTATCTGTATCTTTCAAAATCCATTTTTGTTAGAACATAAAAAATATTCGTGCTTACTCTTCATAGGGTCCTTAAGCAATTCAACTAGTGAACATTGGTGGATTTGGAATCAATAGGATATCTGTTAAATAATTGATTCCCACACTATTGAAGGTATAGTAAGGACATTTCTAATTGAACTATACTCATCATTTCATGATACTTTGATTGATTTTCTTGTGCTGGTCATTGTTTCATTTTGATGAAGAACGAAAGAATTCATGTACCTCTGTCCTCAAAATAAGTTTAAGTTGGTCGTTATCATATACATTTTATACTAAAGTCCAGGAGCGCATATCTTTTTTAGTTGCTAAAAAATTGTAGTTAGGAGTTTAATAGCTTGGTAAAATTTCAAACGTAGTCCTTTTTGTATGGTTAAAGTAAAGTCTTCGTTGAACTTTACTCATGTTTGTGCAGACTTTGTAAACTTGCCATATACGGGGCGTGCCATCAGTGCTAATTCTGAGTCAAAAATGATAGACAAATTGTTTTTACTTGATCCTGTGTTACACAAGGTTAGTCTCTCATCACCGACCTGTTAACAAAAATTACCTCTTTTTTTTTTTTTTTTTCTTTTTTTTTTTTTTTTGAAATTGTGGTGCATCTTACTTGGCTACTTCTTGGTTTGTTTCTCTATTCGTTTGTACTCCATGTTTGCGAAGTGACAGTTATATATGTTTGATCATTTGAAAACCTGTGATTACGATAACAGAATACAAGTTTCGCATGCTAAGCGACTGTTGTTGGATTCGATTTAGCTAGGGGTTGGTGGTACAAGTCCTGTCCATCCAGCCAAAGTTGAAATAAGACGTCTGGATCGTTTGAGTGCAACGAACATGGTTTGATGAACAAATTACCCGAACCATGGTAATGTTCTTTTGCATCTATTTTTCATCTGCCTGGTTATATTAAGTTGCTAACTCATTTTTTAATTTCTGATGGTTATGAAATTCATACATAATAATGTTTTTATGCCTATGATATTTTATGCAACAACAAGGTTGAACGTGTAACAAAAGTTACCGTTACGTATGTCTTTGAATTTTATAGAACGACTTTGCACATGAAACTACCATTTTTATGTTTATGAATTGTTAATTTTGCTATGCCGAACAATGTCTTTCGGTATATCTTTATACTTGATGGCTCAATCTGCGACATCTTGAATTCACTTTGATGTATACACACAGGCACATGCGCTTATCCAGCCAGTATATACTTTTGCAATCACTCTTGTGCCTGAATTAATCTTTGTTCGTAATCTCAATGCATGCATACAGATAACTTTGGGGTGGTCTCCATCCCCATTATATTTTGGCTGCTGTTTGACCCTTGCGAGTGTAGAGTTTACCTTGCAGAGTTAGGAAAGTATTATTTCCATTTCTGCTTTTGTTTTATAAAACTGGGGAACAAAGACTGTATACTTTGTTGTTGTAGATTTATTTTGCAGTCTATTAATGTTGGGTGATATGGATCTAAATTATTTGTGTGTCTTTTTGTCGATGTTATTCGTGCATACGCTTCATTACGATGGTTCTAATGCATTTTCTAGATTGCTCACAAGATTGGTATTAGCAGTGATGGTTGTCTAACACAAGAATATCCTCCTCTTGCACAGGTTCAAAATCAATCTTATTGTGGAAGTCAACACGAATCAGCACAACTTCCTCATGATAGGAAGGCACGTCGAAAAGATACTTCGTGTTTCTTGCCACACTTTGGTGATACAAGACGGATATGAGGATCCTTTTGTGGTGCCGCCAATTCTTAAAAATTTGGTCGGTGAGTCAAAAACATTTCAACTCTCTTTTGGAAATCAAAACAGCAACTTTGGGAAGATAGATTTCATCGTTCATGGACTGCTTCAAGACCAAGCACTCTCCAACCCAGTGATCGGCTCAATCAAATCACAAATGCCCACTCCCTTCCCAACCACTGGATCAACAACCCCGACCAATTGCAGCCGCCAAGACTTCGAATAGAGCATTGTTCCTTGATCAAGCAGACAAATCTAACAGGTAAACTTTCCCTTCCGATAAATGCTCTCATATGTCAATCTTATTAACCATACTTGTTTCTCTTGGGTAAATGTTTGCGCAGTCATCAAAAACTGTCGGCCAATCTTTTTTTACCACTCTTTCGTACTATTTTCTGTAACTATCACGTTTATCTCTATCCTTATCAATTTTACCTTCATTCACAGCAAAAAACCTTGCAGCGAGTAAATAGGCACAACCAATTCTGCCAGAATTGCTGGAGAATTCCACAATCTGGTTTTCCCCAAAATCAAACCTGCCGACAGAGTTCTGATTGCCGCCCTCAAGACAAAAACTCAGGCAAAAAAAAAAAAAAAAACAAAGATAGGTAAATTACAATTTATTTTTAGCACGCATGCCTGCAGAACATCCATGATGGCAACCTTTATTACATTATTATTTATGTTTTTTGCTATAGTGTGGAGGATGTCCGATCTCAGAAAAAGTGAACAACCACACTCTCTGTGATGGAGTGCTACAGGGCATGTTGCATGTTTTTTTGTTTGAACATTTGTGTTTGACAACTTACTTGCTCGAACAACGCTTTTTCCGTGTTTTGTTAGCTGCTAAAATAGGTGCGTAGCTTGCAAGACATATATTTTGCCGTCTTAACTGCATGGGCAAAATATGTGTGAACTACAGGTTGCTTCTGTTTCTTCTATTTCATATGGAAACAGATCTTCTCTTCTTTAGTGTATGAAGTTTAATGATCGTTTCTCACATTCTCTTTTTTAGTGTTACTAGATGTCACTACCTGTATAATCATGTCCAAATACAGTTTCATGTATTAGGATTGGTGTGCTTTTAAATGACCGAAAGGGTATAGTCGTAAGGCTTGCCTTTGTCATTGGTTTCAGCTTCTTCAGTAGACCTTTCGGGTTTTACTTGCATGTGAATTGTTGAACTTTAAAATTGTGAGGAACTTTTTTTTCCTCCCATTTTTCGTAGATAAGCTTTTACGAATGCCATGCGGGTATGAATATACGTAATTTTTAATCTGAGATCATTTCTCCATACCTATGAATGCTGAGCAAAAACTCACTATACTGTCTTTTTTTCCTTTTATGTTTAATTTATCGCCTAAATTTTCATTTATGTATCTCTAACAATTAAGGGGAGTACAAGCTTACCGATTATTGTTGCAGAGTGATAAGCCGGCAGAGGCTGAAGGTGCAGAACGGGGAGAGAAGATTGAAGATCTTTCCAAACCAGGCTCAGATTTGTTTGAAAGCAACTTTAAAGAACTTCAAAAATGGGTTGAAGTGAAGTCCTCCAAAAACGGAACTCTCTCAGTACTACGTGAGAAACGTTCTGGAAGGCTTGGAACAGAACTGAAGGTATTTTTCTCTTTCCTATCTTAACCTTTGGAATAGCACACTGCGTCTCACCTAAAACCATGTATAATCTCATAGGATCAGTATCATTTGCACTTTCTGGTAGGTTTTTTGATTGAACTGCTTGAGTAATTCTACTTGTATGTTAGCTCAATAAACACATTAATATAATAAGTTCCAAGCCAATCGAAAAGAATTCAAAGCGCTCTAGAAACATACAATCTGGTCCTGTAGTCATTTGTAGTTTCAAGGTTTGTATTTCCCTGGAAATATTGTCAAAGAGGAACAGTTTATCTAACTGATCATATTTACGAGTGCAGTTTCTGAATGACGTAATTCAAAATGATGGGGAGCCTCCCAAGAAGAAGTTCTACGACCTGAAGATTTCCTTGCTCGATGAGATTGGCTGGCAACATTTGGCGGCACACGAGAGGCAATGGATGCATGTCCGCTTTCCACCAAGTTTACCTCTTTTTTAGAGTTACTCCATTTCAATTCTCAGAGATCAAATAAATGCGAATAGTAATATCACACTAAAATGTGCTAGACCCTGTGACTGATTGAGCTAGTTTTTCGACTACTTAAAGAATAGTCTGTATGACGTTTAAATGATTGTTCCTCACATTCTCTTCTATCTGTAGTGCTTGTGATTATACTCGTCTTCTGTCTTTGAAGTGAAATAAAACTTAACACGGAAGGACGGACTACAAAAATCCTTTGCAAGTTGAACTATATGTGTATTTGTTTCTTTTGCTTTTTATTCAAGAGATCAATGCTGTTAATTTCCAATAAGGATTAGAAGTGATAAGATCGTAGAACCCAAGTGCCTAGAGGGGCTGGAGTGCTAGAGGCAGGCCATAGAAAGGTCTCAGAGTGAGCTCAATGGAAGGCAAGTGGCTATAAGTTGGAGAGATGGTAAAAGAAAACCTAGTTAGAATTAGGGTTAGAACTATCTTGTACTCCAAGAAAGTTAAGTTTCGACCAATGCACATCCTCCCTCCAAACCCAAAGGGCAAGTACCCCATCTTGTGCGGGTTAGAACTATCTTGTACTCCATGAAAGTTAAGTTTCGACCAATGCACATCCTCCCTCCAAACCCAAAGGGCAAGTACCCCATCTTGTGCTTGCACCCGCCGTGGATGTTGTCCTTGAACCTCTCCGGCTTGAACTCGTTGACGTCCTCGCCCCAAAGGGCCGGGTCGTGGTGCATGCCGACGATGTCAATCCACATGTTGGTACCACTCGGAATGGCAGGTCGTCGCTCACATGAATGTCGGCTTTGGCTTGCCTTCGTGCATTTTGTGACGAACGGTATAGTCAGTAAGGCTTCATTCATCACCCATCCCATCTGCATCATTAAATTAAGCACAATCAATTATGGTGTTTGAATAAACGCATCTTACCGGAGAAAATAAAAAGACAAAAAGCGGCCCGTTTGGTGGGCTGGATGGGATTGAGCCTAGGGATAGGATTAGATGGGTAGAAACTTGTAAGACATGACTTGTAACCTATGTATAAGGATAAGTCAGATAATCCACTCTATTGTAAATTCACAACCCATCATGTCTAGTCACATCTATCTCACATTGTGACACAACAACAACGAACTAGACTCAATTCCATTTTAATTGATCACAACTGATCCCATTGAGCCCACCAAATGGGGCAGAGGAAAGTTTTACCTTCTTAAGTCCAGAAAGCATGTCCACATCAATTTCTTTAGCTCCGACCACTTCCCTAATCTTTTCTCTCAACTGATGTTGCCAATCCTGGTGGGTGGCCAGAAGCAACATTGTCCATGTGATTGCCAATGCCCTTGTCTCAAGACCTCCAAGGAAAAATGTCTTGCACTCATCCACAAGTTCTTGTGTTGTGAGGCCTCGTTCACTCTCCTTAAGCAACAAGCCAAGCAGGTCACGCTGCGGCGTCGACCCTTTGATGGATTTTCGCCTTTCGTCAATGATTGACAAGAACAATTAGTTGATTTCTTGCCCAAGTTTTCTGGCCTCTAGGGTTTCCTTAGGGTGCATCATTTTTCGGAAAGGAACTCCCACAAGAGGGCTCGTTTTGAAGAGTGTCATTTGCAAGGTTCTTAGTTTTTCGAACACTAGGCGGCCACTTTGGTAGCTGATGCCAAAGCTGGTCTTGGCGATGAGGTCTCCCTGCGGTAGCCGTGATTTCTCTCTCGACATCGATTTCTTGAGCACCGGAATCTTTCCAATTGTCTAGCATTTTGTTGGTGGTCTCCACGATTAAGCTCGCAATTGCCTGTATAACATTGATTGAACATGGAATATAATTTGGTGGGTTTCAGTAAAAAGTATGTTAACAGTCAAAAGCAGTAGAAGAATAAATGCTGCTTCACGAACTAAGGTTTTATATTATGTTTGTGGAGTATAATGCTTGCCCATTTCCGGTTTGTTTATGTCAATAAACTGGAAAAAGGGCAAAGCATAATATCAAGTATTGTATATGATATACTATGTGTTTGATATGCATATATATAGAAAGAGCGAGAGTGTATATATACCTTCAAGTTTGTTGGGTTAAAAGCAGGAGTGATAACATGGCAGTGACGAACCCAGTCTTCCCCTTCGGACATGACTAGGCCATTACCGAACATCGGGGCTCTATCGCATCGGAACACCGCTGGCTTCCCCAAGTTCTTTGCTGTCACCTCCGCAGACAGTTTTTCAGTAGCTCTGGATCTGCTATGTACAAAAATGGCTCAGTCCCCAACCAACAAACGAACGTCTTTCCTGTAAATATACACAAACACAAATCAATCATTTTATATAAACATTTATCATTATTGACATGAATATATGGGCATGCAAATGTGTTTTGAGATGGTTATCAAACGGGCACTTAAACGTGTGAGTTTACTTACCGAAAGAGTTTTGCCATCGAGTAAAAAAAGGAAAAGGTATGTCATGGGAGATATTTGAACTTTGAACATTGATGATGATCTTCTTTTTCATCTCACTTAGATTTCCGAATGGAAACCTTGGAGAGGGACCATCCAACCCATTTTTCTTGAGCTTCCTGTACGCAAGAATTGGAAAAACCCAGAAAGAAAATATTAATCTGCAGAAAATATACAGAAGCGCCATGACGATGGCGATGACGAAAATTAGAAGAATGATCTCCGTATCTCTCTCTCTCTGTATGTCTCGTTAGTTTATCCAACTTATCTCTACTAATCTCTACTAAATAATAAAACACTCATTGTCAACCAAAATTTTATAAAATTATCAAGTTTAACTCTCTAATTAAAACAGAACATGAATAAGAAATATGAGGCAGAAATGTAATTTCACACAACCAAATTTTGCTTTTTTTTTTCAAAGCCTCATGTACATTTACAATTCTAACATATCTCTAATTAAAAAAGTAAAAATAAAAAAAAATAAAAAAAAACTTCTCACTCCCACATTCTCTATCACTCTCTTCCTCTCTCCTTCTATTTCAAAAACAAAAAAACAAAAAAATTCTCACACACTTTGTTTGTGCCCATATGCTAGTAAGTTTATAATATATACTATATACTATACAGGCACACACGCCTTATTTTACTAGGAAAGTAAATCCTAAAAATTACAAATAATTACAAGGAAGGTAATCTACAGTGTAAGGAAAGGAATGTACAATACAAGGAAGTTAATATACAATACAAGGACGGTAATCTACAAAAGATAGGAAAACTAAATCCTAAAGATCACAATTAATTACAAATCCTAAACCTACAAAATATAGGAATCCTAGAATATTTACAATAAAGTCAACATTCCCCCTCAAGTTGGTGCATAGATAAAACTTGCTCAACCTGATAAGTTAGTCCTGAAACACTTTACTAGATACTCCATGAGTAAGAATATCAGTCTGTTGCTCTCCTGAAGTTTTCGATCTTCTGAGTACTCATTCTTAGTGGTCTAGTAGCATATTAGATGTGTTTGTTTCTTTAACTTCCAAAGTATGTCAAAAGCACGCTTGTTTGATCTCATGAATGCTGAAAACAGTCCCAATATACTACACAAGGAAAAATTATGTACTTTTGACACCCAATAAGCTTTTCATCTTTTGAGTGATCATTCTCAAAAGTCTAATAGCATATTATATGTATTTATTTGCTTAAGTTCCAAAATATATCACACGACGCTCGTTTGATCCCATAGATGCCGAAAACAATCCAAATACACTCCAAAAGAAAAAGCTATGTACTTTTAATATCCAGTAAGCTTTGATCTTTTGAGTATTCATTCTTAGTGGTCTAGTAGCATATAGATGTGTTTTTTGCTTAAATTCCAAAATGTCCCAAATGCCTACTTATTTGATCCCATGAATGTCGAATATTGTCTAAATACGCTCCAATAAGTTTCAATACGTAATGCTTATTATTATACCTTGTCTTTTGTCTTCGTAGTGAAATAAAACTCACGGGTCCTAAAACACTCATCCCCTTGGGACTTCAAATTAAAGACCGGTTTGGTAGTATCCTTAGCTCATTTAGTTGTCATGATATTTGTTTCTTTTGCTTTTTATTCAGTATAACAAAGCCGCTAACTTCCAAATATTCAATATGGCTTACAATGAGATGCCACTTGAAAGGATTTATTAATGAATAAAAAATTAATTGAATGACTCTAAGGCAAAAGGAGAAACTCTTAAGAAATGACTGATGAACACGTGATAAGATCGTAGGGCCCAAGTGCTTAGAGGGGCTGAAGTACTAGCGGCAGGCCATCGGAAGGCCTCAGAGAGAGCACAATAGAAGGGGAGTGGCGATAAGTGGGAGAGATGTTAAAAGAAAACCTAGTTAGAATTAGGGTTAGAACTATCTTATACTCCAAGAACGTCAAGTTTCTACCAATGCACATTCTCCCTCCAAACCCAAAAGGCAAGTACCCCATCTTGTGCTTGCACCCACCGTGGATGTCGTCCTTGAACCTCTCCGGCTTGAACTCGTTGACGTCCTCGCCCCAAAGGGCCGGGTCGTGGTGCATGCCGACGATGTCAATCCACATATTGGTTCCCCTAGGAATGGACAAGTCATTGCTCACTTGAATGTCGGCTTTGGCTTGCCTTTGTGCATTTGGTGCCGAAGGGTAAAGTCGGAAAACTTCATTCATCACCCATCCCATCTGCATGATTAAATTAATCACAACCAATTAGTTCTCTGATCAATATTAATATACTCAAACATCTACATGTGCAAAAAAAAAAAATAGTTTTAACGAAACACTTCCGGTACTGTTCACTTTTAACGAAAATGACATTTTTACCCTAAAAAATCATTCTTGATACTATTCACTTACAACACATGTTTGTTATTTTAATTAAAACTCAAAATCTTCAAGCTATTTTCATTAGTTATTATACGTGACAGTGACATGTTAATCTCTCCCAAACAGAAGGCAAATGGGAATGTCATGAGCACCCTTCCCACGTGCCAAAAGCGTGGACTGTGGTCAAATGTATCGCTCTGTTGTTTGACCGCTGACAATTTGACCAAATAGGTCTGACCTTTTATTCTTTTCTTTCTTTGTTTTAGGGTTTCAGAGTTGCATATTTGGAAAAACCGAATCTGGAAGCCGCTTTTTTCTTTAGTTATTCAATTAACAAGTACCCACAGCTTGACGACCAAGTAATTATCTAATCAAGTTGATTAACAAGCCAATAAGTAACTCGATTAGATAGTTAACGACTTACATGGAGACCATCATTGATTCTATATTTATAGAATTATTAGGGTTAGACTTTATCTTTATAGAAATTATATAAGTTTATAACAACGCATGCATGCATGATATAAAATGATGAGACAAATGTGTGACAAATAGAAAGAGAAAAAAAGAGAGTAACTTAGACTTTTTTTTAAGGAAAACTAACGAAAAATTTTAAATAAAACTTTAGTTTTAATGAAAAATGACAAATAAAGGTGTAGTGAATAGTACCATAGAAAGGTAAAAATGTGGTTTTTCGTTAAAATTGAATAGTACCTAGGAGTGTTTTGTTAAAACTCCTATTTTTTTATTTTACGCGTCGTGACAGTGTTCAGGGTTATGTTTTTTATTGGAGAAGCTTTTTCTGTTTATGATGTCCATGTTTGAATTATGAATAAATCTTTATGTGTTACTGTACTATCTTATGGTGTTTGAATAAGCGCATCTTATCGGACAAAACAAAAGGACAGAAAGAAAAAGGTTTTACCTTCTTTAGTCCAGAAAGCATGTTCACATCAATTCCTTTATCTCCGAACACTTCCCTAATCTCCTCTCTCAACTGATGTTGCCAATCCTGGTGGGTGGCCAGAAGCAACATTGTCCATGTGATTGCCAATGCAGTTGTCTCATGACCTCCAAAGAAAAATGTCTTGCACTCATCCACTAGTTCTTGTGTGGTTAAGGACTTTGTGAAGCCTCCTTGTTCACTCTGTTTAAGCAACAAGCCAAGCAGGTCGTGCTGCGGCGTCGACCCTCTGATGGATTTTCGCCTTTCGTCAATGAGTGACAAGAACAATTGGTTAATTTCTTGCCCAAGTTTTCTGGCCTCTAGGGTTTTCTTAGGGTGCAACATTTTTCCGAAAGGAACTCCCACAAAACGAACCGTTTTGAAGAGTGTCATTTGCAAGGCTCTTAGTTTTTCAAACACTGGGCGGCCACTTTGGTCGCTGATGCCAAAGCTGGTCTTGGCGATGATTTCTCCGGCGGTTGTTATGATTTCTCTCTCGACGTCGATTTCTTGAGTTCCGGAATCTATGAGAGTCACCCAGTTGTCTAGCATTTTGTTGGTGGTCTCCACCATTACGCTCGCCATTGCCTGTACATTGATTGGATATGGCATATAATTTAGTAGGTTTGATAAAAAAAATGTTAAAAGCCAAAGCACTAGAAGAACAAATGCTTCACTACTTCAGGTTTTATATTCATTTTGCGGAATACAATGCTTTACCCATTTCTGGTTTGTTATAAATTACACATAAACAAACCGAAAGTAGAAATGGGCAAAGCATTAAGTACAGTACTCTATCTAATACATTATGTCTTTGATATATATATATATATATATAGAGAGAGAGAGAGAGAGAGAGAGAGAGAGAGAGAGGTATATATACCTTCAAGTTTGTTGGGTTAAAAGCAGGAGTGATAACATGGCGGTGACGGACCCAGTCATCGCCTTCGGACATGAGTAGGCCATTACCAAACATCGGGGATCTATCGCGTCGGAACACCGCAGGCTTCCCCCAGTTCTTTGCTGTCACCTCCGTAGACAGTTTTTTCAGTAGCTCTGGATCTGCTATGTACAAAAATGGCTCCGTCCCCAACCAATAAACGAACATCTTTCCTGCAAATGTACACAAACACAAATCAATCATTTTATACAAACATTTATCACTTATTGACATGAATATTTGAACGTGCAAAAGTTTTCTGAGATGGTTTTCAAACGGGCACTTAAACGTGTGAGTTTACTTACCGAAAGAGTTTTGCCAGCGAGTAAAAAAAGGAAAAAGAGTTGAGTGTATGTCATGGGAGATATTTGAACTTTGAACATTGATGATCTTCTTTTTCATCTCACTCAGATTTCCGAAGGGAAAACTTGGAGATGGACCGTTCAACCCATTTCTCTTGAGCTTCCTGGACGCAAGAACTGGAAAAACCCAGAAGGAAAATATTAATCTGCAGAAAACATACAGAAGTGCCATGACGATGGCGATGACAAAACCTAGAACAATGGTCTCCATATCTCTCTCCCTCTCTCTCTCTCTCTCTCTCTATCTCTCTCTCTGTGTATGTCTATGAAAACGTTGTTGTAGTAATTAGCTAGGCTTGTATGTTTGTGAGTATCAGAAGAGAATGGAGGGAGTATTTATAGGAGGAGAGGGGATATGCTGATTGAGTTTAATTTGGACCAGGAAGTTTTGACCATGACCTACAAAACTTTCATGACGTGGCTTTTTTAAGGGCCGGGCCTTACCTTCCTTTGAATAGATGTGAAGGTTTTCCTAGCTAGTTCCTTCATTCCCATTCCACCCCCATGCGAGCAACCAAATGGTTATAACTTTTCAGCTGTGAGTTAGAACAGTTGATGAGAATATTATCTCGGTATATACACTTTAGTTAAATCTTTACTTTTGAAGAAACGGATTTAGCCAAGTTTATTAAAAGAGTTTGTTCTCGTACACGCAACAAAATTTGAATTCACTTTCGTTTAAAGTTAAAGCGTTTGTTGTCGAGCATTTATTACATTTTTGCCCTTGTTGAAAAGCCCCTTTTGTTTTGTCATGGATTTGATCATCAATTCAGACAAGCACTGGGCCTGCGGTTGAAAAGTGTTCTGTCATGGTGTGGACGTCGGAACACCGTCCCTTCTTCTTATTCACTTTTTTTTTTTTTAAGTGTTATTTACACATTTATTTTTATCTTTCACACACTTTTATTAATTTTTGTCATTATTTTTTTTAATTTATTCGATTCAACGATCAAAAACTTAAAAAGATGTGGAAGAAGTAAAAGTAGATTTGTGGACAGCATCACATTTTTTTAAAGACTTATTCCTTCTTTTTTGTTTTATAACATCATATATTGTTATCCTGTACCAGGTTACGGCTGTGGTTCCAGTCAACAACTGCTTTGTAGACCAGAAAGACATTTTGATTAGTTTTTTTTTTCCAAATTTTTTTTTATCAGTTGCCGCATTCTAAAGCTTAATATTTATTTAAAACTTGAGAGCAACTCCAATTTTATGTCATTTAATTAAAATGACATAAAATCAAATTAATTTGACAGTAATCTATAGAGTGACGTAAAAATACACTCCGATTATATGTATAAGATGGGAAAAAAGGAATCGATGTTAAAAAATGTGTCAATTTTGTGTGTTTAATAATGTTACTCTCACAAAATATATATTAAGAATTAACGTTTTACTTTATAATATAAGAATTGTAAATTATAGTAATAGTACACTCGAGATTTACATGCCATGGTTTCATACTTTAAAAACGAGACTCACATTTAATGGATTAGAAGATGATTCTTTTAATAATACAGAAGATTATACCTCAAATAGATATTACCCATCAAGTACATGTGATATATATATATATATATATATATATATATTACTCTGAAAAACACTCAAATTTAAATATTTTAGTGGTTATCACTATCAACTACATGATCGAATAATGTCGCAAAACCAGATGTTTATTAACAATGTGCATATGTAAAATGATTACATATCCGATTCAAAATCAATTGATGGAAATCGTTAAGCACTTAATACAAAACTTTCATCTTTATTGAGAGTTCGGTTGCATCAACTTTCGTGTTTGATCGTACGAAAATAATGCATTTGTCCAGTAGCATACAATTGATGGAAATCGTTTGAGCACTTAAACGCAAGACTTTTATTCTTACTGAGAGATTGTTGCATGAATTTCCGTGTTTGATAGCATGAAAATAATGCATTTGTCTAATAACATACAACTGATGGAAATCTTTTAAGCACTTAATGCAAGACGTTCATCTTTACTAGGAGTTAAATTGCATAAACTTTCGCGTTTGATCATATGTAAAGAGTAATCCTCGAGAGATTAAATTTTTTAAACCAAATGATGTGTCACTAATAAGAAATAAGCATGTTAATCGGCACTTAATTAATAATCCAATCATTTACAACAACATCATTTAGTTTACAAATTTGGTTTAAAAAATTTGATCTTCCTAGCATTACTCGCATGTAAATAATGCATTTCTCCAATAGCATACAATTGATGGAAATATTTTAAGCACTTAACGCAAGACTTTTACCTTTACTGAGAATTTGGTTGCATTAACTTTCCACATTTAATCGCATGATAATAATGCATTGTCCTGTAACATACAATTGATAAAAATCATATAAGCACTTAATGCAAGACTTTTATCTATATTGAATTCGGTTGCATGAACTTCTGTGTTTGATCGCATGAAAATAATGCATTTGTCCAGTACCGTACAATTGATGGAAATCATTTAAGCACTTAATGCAAGACTTTCATCTTTACTGAGAATTCATTGCATGAATTTCCGTATTTGATCACATAAAAATAATGCATTTGTTTGTCCAATAGCATACAAACGTTAGGATTAATTTTTGTCCTTTTACGTGCAGTTTTTGTTTGACCATATTTGACCAGAAGCCCCATATGGAGGCTGTCAAACAAACGCGCATCAGTTTGGAGGGAATTATCTAAAAATTATGTGTTTCATGCATACTTTTACTGACGACTTAGACAACAAGTACATATTTGAATTCAACAGCGGACCATCTCGCATAAATTCAAAACATAACGGACTGGCATGGTTTTCACGTTTGAACCAATTTTGTAACGACTGCATGCCGCCACAAATCAGTTACCTTCCTTTTGTTTTGTTGAACACCAAATTGGTTTCCTATCCATCGTGCCCATAATGCATGTTATCTATTTTCCAATTTTTGCATCATGAAACTGATAACAAGTTAAGGATCTAGGACAGTACTTCTACGTTACGGTTAAAATATTGAGGTTCTAATAATGATCATATCGACCATGTATCAAGAGTCGTAAGTTTCAATATCAACGACATCGACCGTATATCAATTACATGTATGCTTTTATAGAATGTTGCAAGAAGCGTGCACGGCCAGATGGAAGTACGGACCAAGGTGCAGGGACGGAATTCTCTATAAAATGTATATGTGTGTGTGTGTGTGTGTGTATATATATGTAGATATGTGTGCAGGGGTGGATCAAAGTAGCCAAGGACTAAGGTGGTCTCAGGACCACCCCAGTCCGAAAAATATACATGTGAAGGCCTTCTGGGAACCTTTCGAAGTTTGGTACATGTCCCTTTTGTGTCTACTAAATGTTTGATATAATGCATTTTACTATGCATAACTATTTACATGGGCATAACAACCCCACTGTCACATCCCAGCCTGGGGTCCACCACATCTTGGGCCCGCTTCACCACCGTAGCACGATATTGTGCGCTTTGGGCCCCGACCACGCCCTCACGGTTTTGTTTTTGGGAACTCACACGAGAACTTCCCAGTGGATTACCCATCATGGAAGTGCTCTCGCGCGCTACTCGCTCAACTTTGGAGTTCCCATGGAACCCGAAGACAGTGAGCTCCCAAAAGGCCTCGTGTTAGGTAGGGATGGAAATATACATATAAGGATCACTCCCCTGGGCGATGTGGGATCTTACAATCCACCTCCCTTAGGGCCCAACGTCCTCATCGGCACACCACGACCAGGGTTAGGCTCTGATACCAAATTGTCACATCCTAGCCAGGGGTCCACCATATCTCGAGCCTACTCCACCACCGTAGCACGATATTGTCCGCTTTGGGCCCCGACCACACCCTCACGGTTTTGTTTCTGGGAACTCACACAAGAATTTCCCAATGGATCACCCATCATGGGAGTGCTCTCACGCGCTACTCGCTTAACTTTGGAGTTCCCATGGAACCCGCAGCCAGTGAGCTCCCAAAAGGCTTCGTGCTACATAGGGATGGGAATATACATATAAGGATCACTCCCCTGGGCAATGTGGGATCTTACAATAATCAGAGTGGCGCAGCGGTCAATACCATGCTACGGTGGTGGAGCGGGCCCGGGATGTGGTGGACCCCGGGCCGGGATGTGACACCCACCAAGTGAATAAACTGAACTTTGTTTTTGCACATTTCGCATCCTGTTTCTATTTTAAAAAATAAAAAATAAAATAACTTGTATTTAACACTAGACCCCCAAAGTTTAAATCATAGGGTGCTTTAGACTTTGGCCCTTACAATTCATTATTTCTAGATAAAAACTCATCTATCTTTAAAAATCCAGTTTAAGCCCAAATTTAAAATTTGCAAACATATAGGAACACTATTGACCTATTAATACAACTTATTTACACTTATGCCACTCATACTTTATGGTCCCTTTTCCAAATTCCTAAATTTATGACAAATTAAAAGTAGTAGAAAAAGTGAAATAAAATGAAAAAAGTGTTTGCATTAACCGTATCCATTGCAAACTAGAAAAGTAGTTTTTTTTTTTTTTTGTGATATATTTTGTAGCAATTTTATCCATATTAATTGATAGGTAAATTAGTTTGTTCCAATTATTTAAAAAAAAAAAAATACTACACCTATATTATATATTTTGAATCAAATAACATTCCTCTAACATTTAGGTAAATTATTTTCTATGTATTTTTATATGTGTTAGACACGTTTTGTTGTTGTATAAACATGAGTGGAACATAATATTGTTGATTTTATACATGAAACTGCATTTCTTTTGTTACAGGTAAATTATTTTCCATGTACAAGTACTTATGTTAGGCAAGTTTTGTTGTTGGTACATACAATATTTTGTATCATTGTAAAGAAAGATATTACATTACACCCATGGTATAATTGTTGTAGGTAAATTATTGGAAATTAATTTGTAGTTAGGTAATGAACATTTTGCATCATTGGAAATGAACATTTCAAAGAGTAGGTAGGTATATTAATTTGTTCTAATTATATAAAAAAAAAAAATTTACTACACCTAGTTATATTTAATTTTTCCAATTATTAAAAAAATTTATACTACACCCAACCAAATAACATTTCTCTAACTTGTAGGTAAATTATTTTTCATGTATTGTTAGAAATGTTAGGCACGGTTTATTGTTGTATAAACAAGTGTAACATAGTATTTTTAATACTATGCATCGAACTACATTTCTTCTTAATATAGGTAAATTATTTTCCATGTATTAGTAATATGTTAGGCACGTTTTGTTGTTGG